ACGATTTACAAAGAAAATTGACTGCTTGATGAGCTTAAAAGCATAATTTTTAAAGATATTGGAAATCCGGTATAATAACAACAGAAAAATATGCAAACATTTGATAGTTGAATGTAAATTGTCCAAACTGGCAAAAAAAGGTTTCACTCTCACAGGTTGAAAAACTCGGGTTTGGAAATTAATTTCGATATATTTTATATCCTCATCAGTCCTACAGAAAATGACCAAAATTATTACAAATTAAAAATAAAGATAATGTAACAAATACTTGATAGTTGAAGTTCTTTCGAAATGTTTGTACAAAGTTGTAGACCATAAACATAGATTTATCTAGGACCTTTACTGCATTCTCAGCTCAACTACCATGTCTAACGGCCAGACACTCCTTTTAAAGAGGAAAATTAGAAAGGGAGAAAACAAACTGTGTGAAATAAGATTTTTAAAAAAATCATAAATTGGAAATATTTTGGATATTTACATTTCTTTTATTAATACTTTCCTATATCTTTTCAATCTGATGGCGCTAAACTTTGTTATTTCAAACTTTGTCTGTTTGATCATTCATAGCAGAAATTATAGTTTGAAATCTAACTTATTAGTTTATATACAAAATATTGATCGGCAAAATGTTAAAGTTCAAGTCCGAAAAGTCCAAAAGACATGAGTTCAAAAGTTCAGTAAAATGAATTACTACCAATCGTTATTGGGTTAATGATGATGAATGTTTCTTATTCTTTATTTCACGATTTTTGATCTTTTATTTCTTAACAATTGTTTTCTTGTTTCTTGTTCCCGTTGTTACTTCCTTGTTCCGGATATATGTTACTTCCTTGTTCCTTGTTTAATATTCGTTGATCCTTGAAAAACGGAACCAATATTGGTCAGGCCACAACATCGAATTCTAAAGATTCCATTCTAAAACCCCAAATGGACGGACAAAATCAAGAGATAAACATTCCAGAAACACAAGGAAATGCAAATATTTTACTTTTAAAATCTTGTTCTATTCGGAAATATTAAAAAGTTCTAATCATAAAAGTGGGGTTTACCATTGGTTTTAAATAAAGCTCTTCACTCATATACATATACTTGTAGATTAGGATATTTGTAAACGGCTGAACCATATTGCCTAAAAAGTTTAGAGGAAACCCAAAATTATAATTTTTTTTCTTCAAAATTCTAAGTTTTTTTGGTGGTTCTGAAATTCCAAGGGCAACGCTGGGCAATTCAGCTACAGGGTGTCCCACGAAACATGATATTTAATAAATAATTATTTTCAGTCAAACAAATCTTTTGCTTAATTATATATTACTTTGAAATCAATTTTAATGTAACATGACAATATTTTATTGATCTATGGTATCAAACAACTGAACAAATAATGAGAAAAAAAATTATAAACTATTCACCAAATGTCATGTTTCGTGGGACACCCTGTAGTAGAAAAATAAAACTTAAACAGGCAGTAACTTGCTGATTTGATTGAACTTTAAACTTCTTATTAAATGAAGATAATATCCTATGGCATTTTTATGTATCCCCAGATTACAATTATTTTAAATGACAAGATACGTTTTCAATTATTTTATAAAGCAGATATCATTTTTACAAAGTATACAATATATACAATGTAAATATATATATATATACAATGAATGTACGAATCCCACACAGATTTTACAGATAGGACATGCTACATTCATTATCTTTTCCTTTATGTGTGGACAAAAAGATTACAAAGAAGGCAAGTGACCATTTTTCAGACAAACTACAAATAAAGGGAAATAGTCTTCTTGATGAATATGAGATGAAGATGAGGGAGGAAGAGTGACCGTGTAAAAGCCGTAAACAGGGACTTGTCCAGTCAGTAACCCTATTGTTGTAATTTTACTGATATGTATTCAGTTCCTTGTAAAAAAAATGTCTGAATGAAAATACTGCAACTGCAAGAGAGCTAAACATAATTTCAAGGAGTGAAAAACGTCAGGAAAAATAATTTGGCTCTTTTATTGCTGTCATTTTTTTATCTTGTTTTCCAAGAACCAAGGGTGCAACTAAGAAGGGGTGGGGGAAGCACCACCGCTTGATTCTGGTGGTTCTCCTGGTTTTCCTAGAACTCTGATTATAGTGGTTATCCTTATATTCCTAGAACTCTGATTATAGTGGTTATCCTGGTATTCCTAGAACTCTGATTAAAGTGGTTATCCTGGTATTCCTAGAACTCTGATTCTAGTGGTTCTCCTGGTTTTCCTAGAACTCTAATTAAAGTGGTTATCCTTATATTCCTAGAACACTGATTATAGGGGTTCTCCTGGTATTCCTAGAACTCTGATTAAAGTGGTTCTCCTGGTATTCTTATAACTCTGATTAAAGTGGTTCTCCTGGTATTCCTAGAACTCTGATTCTAGTGGTTTCCCTGGTATTCATAGAAATCTGATTCTAGTGGTTCTCCTGGTATTCCTAGAACTCTTATTCTAGTGGCTATCCTGGTATCCTAGAACTCAGATTCTAGTGGTTCTCCTGGAGGAATAAATCGAGAGGATTATGATAAAGGAAGGATTATGATAAAGGATTAGATTGGTAGGATTATAATACAGGCTTAGATTGGTTGGTTTATGATGGGGGGGGTACTGGAGGGAGGGAAAAGAGAAGGAAGAGAGATTTGGACTTGGAGCTTTTTTTCAGTTGTGGAATTTCCTTTTTATGATATTAAAAGCTAATGATACAAATACATTATTGCTGAATAGAATTAAAGGTTCTGTAGAGGTAATCTCAATCGTTCCGTCACATTTTCACTCTTCAAAAATGAATGAAATACAAATTTTGTTCGAAAAAAATTATTTCTTTTAAATTTTGATTTCTTTAAAAAGGTTTGGAAAGGTTTGGAAATAAAAGAGGTTTAAAACAAAATTTGACAAATTAAAAGCGAATTAAAATATAAAAAATACATGGAAACTTACTTTAACCCTCTCCCGATTGGGCTATTTATGTCTAACATAGATTGTGTTGTGGGGGGGGGGTGGTTTCCATTCCCCCCCTCTATAATTTTTCCCTTAGAGTTAGAGATAGAGGAATGTGATACTAGTCCCAAGTCTAACTTTTCAAGGCCAACTCATTAAAAAAGTTAAATCTTCAATTTGAGTGCTTAGGGTGCAAGGTATGCTTTAAAAAAGTTCAAAAATTCGTCAGAAAAAAATGTTGAAAATTACTTTTTTACTCTTTACAAATTGTAACATGTGACACAAGGGTTTAAATGCATTTTTCAAGGGCTTTTTAAATATTTTGGATCTGTAGCTTTATTAATAAAAAAGTTTTTAACTGTTTTTGATTTTTTTTAAACGGAGCTGTCGATTGACCGTCAGCTCCACCTCACCTTATGAGATATCTTTTATACACTCCTTGACTTGACTTGACTACACTCAAAGGCGAGTTTTTCGTCGTCGCTGAGTTCTCATGTTTATTGGGACACACTGTATGTTCTTTTGAATAAATGCTTTTTGTTTTCGGATGAATAGAGACTAGATGGACATTTATGAAATCATTCAAGTTCACATTTTTTAACGACCATATATTTTCGGTCCACAGCCGGGAGGGAAATGTACTTTAAAGTAAGCCCATTGTAATGCATAGAGGATAGGAGGGGGGGGGGGGGTCATGAATAAAGATTTTTTAGTTTTTTGTTCTTATAGTTACATATATTACTACTGCGAGGTGTTTGAAGAGATAAAGTACCAGATTTTTTTTTTTTTAATAAGGAAGGCATTTATTATACCTTGGAGTTAACCCACTTTTTAGCATTTTTTAGACCGTGGACGTTTTATTAAATTTTCTTACAGAACATCAAAGGAATGAAGGAAAAAATTATATAGGTCGATGATCATTTTAACTATGGTTCGATCTATGTCATCTGTAATCTACAAGGTGTCCCTTAAAGCATTAGTTTTCGCTTTTGAATCAAATCAAATATTTATTGCATGAGGACATAATTTTTTTTGACAATATAATTATCACAAATTACAATAAATCCTCATGAGGGAAAAAGAATCTGGTGGGCCAGGTTTTCATCAATTTTCCTGTAAACAGCTTATAGTGTCACTTAGGGAGGGGAGGGGTGGGGGGGGGTCCTGGACGAGTGGACGAGAATGTAGGACGGAAGGACGATAAAATACACAAACATGGTTTTAAACGAATAATAATGCTTAGCCAAGATATCCAATTAAAGAATAGTATGAATAAAAATATGTGTCAAAATGCATTTTTCCCTTGTCTACAGGAGACTAGAATGCGTAGATATAAAAGAGAAGAACAGAAAACAAATGTAGATGATCAGATAAAAAGAAGATACAACAGTCGGGGGACAAAAAAACTCACTGCTCTTTTTAAATTTGTTAAAAATTTTAAATTAAACATAAATTGTTAAAAAAAATATGATATGTACTTAATTGGTCAGAAAGATACTTTTTTATCATGTTCCTAGTTAGTTTATATACATTTGAAATTTTACAAATCTAGGTAATAATAAAAACATCAATTATTATGCTAATGCAAAGTCTTTTTTGAACTGAAAATATGGTTCTATCCGACCTTGCATCACCTAGTTGGGTAAAACTGAAGTACATAAGCAGATTGAAACAAGGTCAATGGATCACCTTCAAAAAAGCATGCCCATGAAAATGTTGGATCGTTACAAAAGGTTGATATTGATAAAAATGCATTGGAATGCACTCAATATTTAAGAGACAAGATCAAGGGGAACAGATACAGATACAGATACAGATACAGATACAGATACAGATACAGATACAGATACAGATACAGATACAGATACAGATACAGATACAGATACAATATATTTAAATGAAAAAAGCAATTTTAGTGTTCAGTGAAAAGTGGATTCAAGAAAAACTTAAATCAAGAACTTTTAAATCCTTTACCAGTGATTTTATATAGTCATTAACCCTTATAATTTCAGATTTAAAAAAGATGTAAAAAAGAGACATATACAAAAATGTTAAAGATTTATTTTTTTATTGTGAGTACATTTTTATTCTATAAAAAAGTGTTCCAAAACTATGCCTTGAAAATAAATGATATTTAAATCGTCATTCATTTTTTTTCAATGACAATATTTGACGTTTTGATGTTTTTTGGGGATTAACGAAATGTTAACGACGATTTTTAAATACAAATTTTTTTGGTTTTTTATCAACTTTCGGAAATTAAAGAAATTTCTATTTTTATTGAGACACCCTTTTTATAAAAAGTATTAGTTTGGTAGGGTTATGATAAAGGATTAAAATGGTAGGATTACGATTAGGATTAAATTGGGAGGATTACGATTTGGATTAAATTGGGAGGATTACGATTATGATTAAATTGGAAGGATTATGATAAAGGAAAAAATCTTGAGGATTATGATAAAGAATTAGATTGGTAGGATTATAATACAGGCTTAGATTGGTTGGTTTATGATAATGGAATAAATTGGGAGGATTTTGATAAAGGAAGGATTATGATAAAGGATTAATTGGGAGGATTATGATAAAGGATTTGATTGGTAGGATTATAATACAGGCTTAGATTGGTTGGTTTATGATAATGGAATAAATCGAGAGGATTATGATAAAGGAAGGATTATGATAAAGGATTAGATTGGTAGGATTATAATACAGGCTTAGATTGGTTGGTTTATGATAAAGAAATAAATCGAGAGGATTATGATAAAGGAAGGATTCATGATAAAGGATTAATTGGGAGGATTATGATTGATGAATTCTAGACAAATGGTAAATATCTAGGTTTTGGTTCTAGTATCTGGTGTTGAACTAAACCGTCTGGGGGGAGAAGAACATGAACATCATCATGAACACGAAGAGGATCATGGTGTTCAAGCACATGAACATGGTCATGAACATGAACAAGAACCCCGAGATGGAAGAGCAGAATTAGGATTGGCAGATTTAGAAAACCAAATATTTAGTAAGTTTCAACACGTTTTTAAAATAACAAAATTTTGTGAAATAAAGTCAGATGAGATTGTGAAATGAAATAGGAAGACGACTTTTAGACTTAAGTTATCATTTAGTAGCAAAAAGTGAACCTCTTAGCTTTGTAACAACGTCAAATACAGGGTGTCCCACGAAACATGGCAGTTGTTGAATAGTTTTGAATGTTTTCTTCCATAGACTGTATTAGATATTGAAGAGATTTTGCAGCATATTTCGTAAAAAAAAATTTTTAAATAAATTTATTTTAAGTTGATATAAATTTTACTATAATTTGACTGCAATAGCATATTTTTTACTATGCATTTTGGTATCAACCAACTCAACAAATTATGGAAGAAGACATTTTAAACTATTCACCAACTATCATGTTTTGTGGGACACCTTGTACATATAAGATTGCTTAAATGTTGTCTTCCAATTCTATAGTTTTATGGTTTCCATTGTACAGTGTTTTTCTTATTTATCAAAAATTTACAGTTGAATACGCATCATCTTCTCAATTATTTTTATGATCAAAATTCAATAACTAATAATTTAGTAAAAAGTAACTTATATAATTATATATGTTCCCTAAACTAAGCTGGTTAAGATTTGCAAGACATTTCATAAGAAAAGAAGGAAAAGAAGACAAGCCTTCCACTTTTATTATGCCTTACCTTCCCCTGTTCACGCCCTACCTTCCACTGTTCACGCCCTACCTTCCCCTGTTCACGCCCTACACTCCCTACCTTCCACTGTTCACTACCTACATTCCATTGTTTTCTATATTTTCTAAAATTTAATGCAAACCGTATATTTTTCAATGCTAAATATTAAAATGGGTTTATAAAATTGCGATATCAATATTTTGTAATTTTAGACTCCGTTAGGACCCTGGATGCTTCATCAAATACTATCGACTTCTCAGGGTAAGATGATTGAATGCTGACCTGCTGGACAGTGGGCCACGTCAGATACAGTGATAACCAGAAAACTGTAGAATTGGAAGAAAACATTAAAGCAATATTGAAGTGCATTCGATGTTGTTACAAAGCAAATAGTTTTGCTGTAAGTTATGTAATCACTTATTAAGTCAAATTTATCTGTTTACACTGCACAATTCATGTGCCTCATGTTCATTCGACTTTTTAAACTCATAACTTGAATCTAAAAGTCGACTTCTTATTCAAGAGTTTCTTGGTTATCACTGTGTATATTTTTTTCGTGTTATAAAGTATTTTTTGTCTATTTTCTTGTGATTTTTACATTTTTCACTATTGATTTTGATGGTTACAATATTGTTAGAACTGAAAAGGTCGACCAAGACCCAAATATATTCTTTCAAATGTGAAACAAACACCTTTTTTAATCTGTGAGGTACGTTGGAGCATCATCAAGACCGAATTTAATATTTTTTTTATGGAAATAAGTTTTTGAATAAAACTACTTGTAAGAGGATGTTTTAGGTATTAATTAAAATAGATGCTTCATTTAATTGTCGAATATATCAATACAACGAAAACGACTGTCGAATATATCAATACAACGAAGACGACTGTCGAATATATCAATACAACGAAGACGACTGTCGAATATATCAATACAACGAAGACGACTGACGAATATATCAATACAACGAAGACGACTGTCGAATATATCAATGCAACGAAGACGGCTGTCGAATATATCAATGCAACGAAGAAGACTGTCGAATATATCAATACAACGAAGACGACTGTCAAATATATCAATGCAACGAAGACGATTTTCGATTTCAATTTTGAGTTCTACCCAGTTCTTTCGAACAGCTTGAATAATGGATATATTTTAAAATGACAACAAAGAAAACCTGTCAACTAACAAATTCTTTTAATGTTGAATGTTAAACTTGAAAAAGCTTGCTCGAAATTAAATCCTAAAATGAAATGTCGTCTTGATTGTTCCTTTTCCCATCCGTAAGGTAACATTATAGAGGTCCATCGAGTAACGATTCTATTTTAACTTCATACTTTTTTCCTAAACTGACATATATTTTTTATCAGGGCTGTTCCAGTATTACAGGCTGATGGATCAACAAAACTTTGTGTAGAGAAACTTGAAACAAGAGAAGAAGTAAAGTAAGTGTCATTCTCAAATTCATAAATTGTTTCAAAAAAATAACCGAACTTTCTTCTTAACTCCTCTCCTTTAAAATTTACATCTAATGCAAAACAAAAATTTGTTAAAAATTCGAAAAAATTACGATATTTACTATTTTTTGCTGCAGCAAGTGATGTGCTATTAGTTGGTTAGTTTTTTGATAGTTTTTTACTATATTTTCTTTCCCGCGGTCAAAATTTGGCAAAATGGGAGAGAAACTATTTTTTATTCAAAACATTTGATTTTCTTCAAGTAATTCAGATGTTGACCCTGGTAGAAGATATATGCAAACTCATAAACGATCCCAAACTGATGCAAAAATGAACGTGGTGTAGCGATTTTTATTGATTTTTTTCTAAAAATGATCTAAAACGATTAACGACACTAGGCCTGCATTAATAATTTTTAGATCAATATTTATTCGAGGAAAAAAAAACTGTATTGAAAACAAATATCTTATTAACTCAACGCAAACTTGTTCATTAAAGGTTACAAAGATATATTTTTCAACAAAATTTGATAATATGCATATAACTGTGCAAATATATAGTTGTATACAGGAATAAAACAAAAAACCTGTTCTCTATAGAAATAAAAAGACTGTCAGATATGAAACAAATCTGAATCCTAGATATCCAAAGGATGTAATGTAACTGAATCCTAGATATCTAAAGGATGAAATGTATCTGAATCCTAGATATCTAAAAGATGAAATGTATCTGAATCCTAGATATCTAACGGATGAAATGTATCTGAATCCTTCATCATTTTAAGAATGTACTCCGAAAGAATCATGTTCTCCGTCTCCATTTCTTCTTTTTCTGATCGAACCTTTTCCAATCTGAAAAATAGTTCTTTAATAAATGCAAAAAAGCTGGAACTGAACTCTTTAAAATTGAAAAATTATTGATAATTATGTGCCAAAAAAACGTCAAAAAGTAATCACATTCGGACAACTATTGAAGATAATTGGCAGAGTCTTCTTTTAATAATTAAAAACGAAAACAAAACATGAAAAAAAGCATACAGTGATAACCAGAAAACTCTGAAATAGGAAGAAGACTTTTAGAATCAAGTTTAAATTGAACAAGTCCAAGTGTCTAGTAAAATGAATAACTTTGTAAAAACATCAAATATTACTATACTATTGTCTTCCTATTCCATTGTTTTATGATACTCACTGTATTACGCTGTCTGCAACTAAACGAACCTTTTTTCCAATGCCTCCACAGTGTCCCTAAGCCCAAGAATCTCTGAGATAAGTTGAGACCTATCCTCGGACTCTATAACCTCGAAAGTTAAATCGTTTGAATCAAAGTTTTCTTTGTATTCTTCTACTTCGTGTTTAAGAGCTTCTTTAGTTCTTGTATCTCCATCTTGTATTGGAATCTCGGTCTTGGTCAATTCTTCGACTTTATTCTCAAGAAAATCCGGGTAATCAACTTTTCTGTCGTCTTCAACACTTTTGGAAGATTTTTCCATTTGATTCTGTGGATTCTGTTTGTATTCCCCGGTACTGGTGGGATGACCTGCCATGTCCTGGAGCTCAACCATGTTCCCCTCCCCAGAGGGTAGTATGGAGTACTCTCCCTCGCTCCTAAACTCTTTCCCAAAGTGTCCAAAATATTTGAAATAATTCATCTCTAACAGATTTACACCTCAGAGGATGTTTCGTGGACTGGTGTGATTTAGCTTGATAACTTTCTGCGAATTCAGACGGTCATTCTAACCTCAGGAGGCGTAGTTACCCTCCCCCCTCTCTTCCCTAACCAACGCATCCTATGAAACGTCCCCCCCTCCCTCCCTCTTCTCTAATCCTTCGGTTGACTATATTTAATCATCCCGGCCCTGTTCTACCCCCCCCCCTCACAGATTAGTTACATTACATATATCCTTCACGATGAACCCAAGTTTGATGATTTTATTTTTTTCACCGTTGACTTCCGTTGATTTTGAAAAAGATTCAAATGATTGGCAATTATTTACCTACTTTCTTCTTCTAAAGAAATACCCGAACTTGAATAATGTTTTCGTCTAAAAAATGTTTTACACATACTGAGTTTTTTAAAAATATTGGAAGAAAATAACGGATAAACCAAATTGATCAAGATTTCAATCTAATAACGTTATTTTTATTCTTGATCAATATTTAACAAAAAAAAGTGTTATATATATGTGCAGAAACTAAAAATGCAGTTTAGCTTCTATTTTGTTCGTGTTCAAGTTGGCACCATGCGCTAATGTGACGACAGTTCGGATATAAATCTGATAATAATAAAAGTATTACGAAAGGATTTACAGTCAAAATACGATCAATCCTTTGCACTCTAAAATCGGAATTTAAGACCAATTGCGGGTAAACGGCTGGAGTAACGCTGGGTTCCCAAGCAGCCAATATTGTATTATAGATATATATATATATATATATTCTGCTGAATAATGTCAAACATGAAAAACAGTGTCCAGCAATAACCAATCTTAATAAACAATAGAAAATGTTCTAAACTAAGATATATATATATGATTTTTGATTGAATAATAAATTGATAGGCTGTTTATATCATGTAATGTTTCAGGAAAGATCCCCTGCTGGAGTGCGTACATAAATCTGTAGAGAAATGTCATTACACGTACAAAACTCAATTCGTGCCTGTACAGGAACAGGTACAGGAACAGGAACAAGAACAGGAACAGGAACATGATCGTTTAAAGGGACTGAAGAGTGAAGATAGAGATTGACGCGTTCGGTTTTTTCATTTCGTTCGTTCATCGTTCTTGAATGAACCTTTTTGTTCTTTTTTTCAATCGTTCAAAAAATTTATTTTTTTCATTCTCAAAATAATGACATTTTTCCATTTTCTCACTGAACGATTGTTCAGTAAAATCGTTCGTCACATAAATTTTTGTTTTTAAAAGTTCATTTGAAAATATTCGTTCATTATAAAACGATAGTTTTTAAATTTTTGGAAAATTCGTTCTTTCAGTTAAAGGCTATCGTTTTTTAAAGCTGTATTTTTTTCTTTCTTTTTTAAAAAACGGTCGTTTTTCATTTCTTTAAACAATCATAGTCGTTCGTCCATCGTTCCTTTTTTTACTGAACAACACCATCGTTAACGAAAAATTTTGTTCATTAACAAAAATGATGCCCATTTCTAACTGAAGACGTAATTTCAAATGACTCCATTTGCAAAGTTGCATGCCCAATTCACAAAGGTATCATGGATGATTGGATGATCCTAGAATATAGTTGATATTAAATATTAGATATTATCTTGAAGGCAGATCGCATAAAAAATGTATAAACATAAAAAATAATGATCTTAATTATGTTTGCTTACACAATTGTTTACATTTAGGTATGTGATGACAACTATGTGAAGCATTGTACAATTATGTACAAACAAATCGCTACAAACGAGACCTACACTCACTGCTACAAACCCCTTGTTAAAGACTGTACAAAATCGAATGGTAATTAAAATTTTTTTAAAAAAAGAATACAAATTTTTTAATTGTGTTTACTTTTAGAACCTGCGGAGGAAATCTGCAGAGATTATTTTGAGTCTTCTTGTACAACAAAGTAGGTTTATAATTTCATAAAGTAATTTGAATTTGTGGAATGACTGTTGTCCTTTTTTCTTTGGCGAGTTTTACTGTTATATGCTACTAACGATGGGCAAAAGCTAGATTCGTTTCACGGAAACTTTTTATATTCTTAGACTTTTAAAAGATTTTACGACTCAACGATTTAAAACTGTCTTCTGGAGATGTTTGCTTTTATCAAACATGCAAATTTGTTATCCTAAGTAAAAATATAAGGCAAAAACGAACCCAAATCATCGTGTTAAAAACCCAAAACGATTGTTTCAAAACAATTATTTTTGCCTAATATTTTTTGAGGGTAACAAAATTGCATATTTGATAATAGCAAACTTCTACAGAATAACGTTTTAAAATGTTGAAACCTTCTCATATTGTCGGAAAACCTTTTAAAACTCAAAAAACGTTTTCCGTAAAAATATTTCTGTAAAACGAATATGCCTATTGCCCATCCCTATATGATACTCGTCTTTGCTTTAGATAGTCAAGTTTCTATGATATTTTTTTAAAAATAACTACAAAATATTTCGTACTTTCCTAGAGAACAAAATAATATGTTTCATAAGAAACACTGTTAGTCCAGACAAAGCGCTTGATAAAACGGAACTAAGCTATTTAACCTTCTGTGTATAGGTATGTGGAAAAGTCTCCAGGGAAGCACGTGGCTGATACTTCATGCGAGAAGATTCCGGTCAGACTGTGTGGAGATTCTAACTGTAGGATGGTAGAGGGGAAGGAAGAGTGCCATGACAAGGTTAGGTTTAATCCAATGACAAAAATCCTCCAAATCCAAAGAAATTTTTTTTTAAAGTAAAATATAATAAAACCAAAACATATACAGGGTCATTAAGTTATTTTAAAAAATCATTTTAAAACTGTATTGAATGCAGAAGACCGAATCTAACAGTTGGGTCGTATTTTTAGTCTCATCTCTTGGGGAGTGAGGAGGGAGGTGGGGAGGTGGGAGGGGAAGGGGAGATGCAAAAGGGAAAGGTTAATAAAGGGAGGGGGGAAGTAAAAATAAAACCAATTTCAAACCAATTCAATTCATTGGGAGGAGTATAAACAAATCAGATAAACTGATCAGTACTAAACAAATCACCTATACTGATCAGCACTAAACAAATCAGCTATACTGATCAGCACTAAACAAATCAGCTATACTGATCAGCACTAAGTAAATCAGCTATACTGATCAGTACTAAGTTTGTTTGTGTTCTCTCAGAAACTGTATAAGAGGTGCCCTAATAATCAAGAAATATTTTAAAAATTACATTAATAAAAAATTGTATTCCAGGTAACTGTATCTATAGTTGACCAGCCTGAAGAGCATTGTGATTTGACCCCCCAGAAGACCTGTCGACATAAAACAACCCTGGTACCTAAACTTCAGCCTTCTCATGAATGTACTAAAGTACCAAGAGAAGTTTGCAGTATAAAGTATGTTAACACTAGGGTGGAAAAGGTTCCCTTTAAATCTCTATGGTGTCAAGATGAGAGTGAAGTAGAGACTGAAACAGATGTATTATCCGAAGGTATTGAACTACCCGAAGAACCAGATGTCCTCGACGGATACGTTTACGAGGTTCCTGAAACTCCTCTTCAATCTTATAGACCAACTGTAACAGATCCTGCAGAAGCATTTACACCACCTCCACCTCCTCCTGCAACGTCTGCTCCTCCAACCACTCCCAGGGTACAAGTTGTAGCACTTACACCTGAATCTCTTGAGGCTGCTGTTCTGAAAGCAACTAAACAGGCTATAATCAATGCTATTACAGAAGCTACTGCGCTTGCCGATTCCTCAGAGAGTAAAAGAAGGTTAACTGTAGCTGTTACTGATGCTTTAGTGCAGGCGGTGAAAGCCTCCTTAAAGAAAGCGGTTGCCTCCCAGGTAAGTAGTAACAAACCTCCTTCTGCTAGTTCCTTGGAGATTACTTTGCAACAGGGTGTTAGAGCAGCTGTAGAGAACTCTGTTAGGAATGCGGTGGCGCTGAGATCTGATAAAATGTCTTCAACAATGGAAGCTGAATTACTCAGCATGAAAACCAGTATCGAACTTGCTCTTATCAATGCAGTAAGGCAGGCTGTCCAGAATTCAGTTCGGAAAGCTTTTCAGACAAAATCAATTAGCTCCCAAACGGAAAACATTGTTGAAAACACCGAAGGACAAAATCAGCTGATTGAAAATAATGTTGTCAATGTTAGTAACCAGAACAATGGCAACCAAGCAGCCCTCTCAGCCTCAATACAACAAGCCGTTTTACTAGCTGTACAGCGGGCTGTAAAATTAAGCCTTCAACGTCAGACTGAAGTTGACAGTCAAGGGGCACGCTTAGCAATACAACAAGCAGTAAACCAAGCAGTTGCTCTTGCAATCAAGAATAGGCTCAGTTCAAGCTCTTCTGTCGCATCAGAGCTAGATATAAAATCAGCTGTTGAGAAATCTGTTATGAAATACCTAGAGTCAGCTCTTCTCGAGACTACAAGTACAACTAGAGCCACCAAACAACAAAAAGATGCGCTAAGTACAGCGCTAAGACAGGCTGTCAAGCAGGCTGTTGAGAGATCTGTTACAACTGTAATAAAATCGAAAGCGTAAATTATGAGATCCTTTTCTTTTCATAGTTTTAATCCTGGACTGTCTAAGCCTAGTCTTTCACCTTCATAGTTATATCTATTAAAAGCAATCCTAGTCCCCAAACGGCAAACGCGTTTCCTATCTGTCTAACCTTATTATTTTATTCCATTTATTTAAACTACTTTATGCACATACCCAACATTTTGTATTATTTCAACAAATATTCATATTATTTAGCACGATGCTTTCCATACGAGCCATTTAATATCCAACCCTACTATTTTATATCCAATACTTTCTAAACAAACCAATATCCAACCCTACTATTTTATATCCAATACTTTCTAAACAAACCAATATCCAACCCTACTATTCTTTATATCCAATACTTTCTAAACAAACCAATATCCAACCCTACTATTTTATATCAAATACTTGCTAAACAAACCTATATCCAACCCTGCTATTCTTTATATACAATACTTTCTAAACAAACCAATATCCAACCCTACTATTTTATATCCAATACTTTCTAAACAAACCAATATCCAACCCAACTATTCTTTATATCCAATACTTTCATATTAAACATATATCCAACCCTACTATTCTTTATATCCAATACTTTCTAAACAAACCAATATCCAACCCTACTATTTTATATCAAATACTTGCTAAACAAACCAATATCCAATTCATACTATTCTTTATATACTTTCTAAACAAACCAATATCCAGCCTTACTATTCTTTATATCCAATAGTTTCTTATCCAACCAATATCCAACCCTACTATTAATATCCAATACTTTCTTATCAAACAAATATTCAACCCTACTTATTCTTTTTTATTCAATATTTTATCGTCCAACAAATATTCAACCCTGCTATTCTTTATATTGAATACTTTCTACACAGACCAATAATCAATATCCCTTTTGTTCTTTCTTCCAATTAATATCCAACCCTTCTATTCTTTATATCCAATACTTTTTTATCCAACAAATATCCTATCATAGTATTCTTTATAACAAACATTTTCTCAGCCAACCTTTAATCAACCCTACTATTTTTTATTCAAATTAATATCCAACCCTACTATTCTTTATATCCAATACTTTCTTACCCAAACAATATCAACCCTACTATTCTTTATATCCAACATTTTCTCAGCCAACCTTTATTCAACCCTCCTTTTTTTTATTTCAATTAATATCCAACCCTACTATTCTTTATATCCAACATTTTCTCAGCCAACCTTTAATCAACCCTACTATTCTTTATTCCAATTAATATCCAATCCTACTATTCTTTATATCCAATACTTTCTAAACAAACCAATATCCAACCCTACTATTCTTTATATCCAACATTTTCTAAACAAACCAATATCCAACCCTACTATTCTTTATATCCAATACTTTCTAAACAAACCAATATCCAACCCTGCTATTCTTTATATCCAATACTTTCTAAACAAACCAATATCCAACCCAACTATTCTTTATATCCAATACTTTCTAAACAAAACAATATCCAACCCCACTATTCTTTATATCCAATACTTTCTAAACAAACCAATATCCAACCCTACTATTCTTTATATCCAATACTTTCTTACCCAAACAATATCCAACCCTACTCTTCTTTATATCCAATACTTTCTTACCCAAACAATATCCAACCTTACTCTTCTTTATATCCAAATCTTTTTTTTAAACTAATAGCCTACCTATCCATCGTCCAAACCCAACCAATATCCAACCCTGCTTTAGTCTTTATATCCAAATCTTTTTCTTCAAACTAAGAGCCTACCTTTCTTTTTTTCTATCAAAATCTTCCAAACCAAACCAATATCCAATCCTCTAATTTTTTCTATCCATGTTTGTCAACTTAAATGTTTCTTCTCTAATTCATTTTTGATCTATTTTTCTACTTATTAATGTCTGCGAAAATGTATCATACATTGTCAACATGTAAAACGTCAATTTACATACTTTAATTTATTATTATTTATTATTATTTATTATTGTTTGTAGTAAGAGTTACCACCTAGAATAAAGTATAAAAATGACTAAGATTATTATTACTCACATGAAAGAGGAAAGAAATTTAGTCTTTGCCACAAACTCAAATTTTTTAGTCTCCATTTATTTGTAACTTTTGATATTTCAAACTTCGATTATTTGATCTAACAGAATACACAATTTAAAATATCTAATGTTTACACATCGGGTTTGGGTTGCAATGATATTCATATAGCTGGTTTAGAAAATCGGAGTGTGTGGCAAAGACGCAATTCCTTCATGAGATTGTGGTGACGATGATGGGATGGGGGGATTGGGTGGAGGCTAAGGTAGGGGCAATGCAACAATGATTTTTTAATATTTATTTTTGAACCTACTTTTTAGCTGATCATACACCTGTTTGCTGTTCATCTCTGGTAGATCTACGCATTTTAATCCCATGTATGCAAGAGAAAATGCATATTTCCGCTTTTTTTTCTAATATTACGAATATTGTCCAGATATGAATCTCTTTTTTGCAATATTTTTTTCATACTATTCTTGAATTTAATATCTTGTTTTCACTTGAAAATAAAAAGCAATTTTGATTTTTCAATATTTTCTAATGTGTTTTTTACTTGTTTTCAATCAATGTTTTGAGACACAGCGATTAATGGCTAGACTGTTTTCATTTTCCAAAAATACAGTAATTTTGTGAACAACTGCGGCCCTGTAAATAAAAAGCATTAAATTAAGTAAATCCACCCTATTTTAAATAATTAGTTTACGAAACTTTGATTGAGGTAATAGTTTTTTTTATGTATCTAATTATTCAGTTAGGTAAACACAAAATTATTATGTTTTACAAAAAAGTTCTAAAACACACACAAGGTAACTGATTACTCTCCACAAACTCTAATTGCTTTATCCTTGTGTTTGTACAACCCACGAGAACTTTCCTAGAAGGATTTGGTTCATTTGGTGTACCGTCCCGTTTTGCCTGGTATAATCTGTATGTGTACTGTACAGCTCTCTCTAGCTAGTTAAATGTCAGCCCAGTTCTTGAACTGAACCAATGTTTGAGATATTAAAGGCAATTACATCTGAATGTTGCTATTTTTATCCTCGCATCGTGTCATTTAAAGAGTTTCAGGTCATCGAAAAAATCTCATCCTTTGTGGGTAACCCTGTTTTGTGTTTTTTACAAAATACAATTTCAGGGGAGATTAGTTTCAAAACATACGATCTTAGCTCTTTGGGCCAAATCTACAAAGGTATCTTTTCCAAGCATACATATTTTTAAATCCAAGCCAAGTTAAACAAAACTACACCATTACATCAACTTTGAACTGATAATAAGGTGTGAGAATTAGTTTTTAATGACACTTGATTTCATTTTCGAATATTTCCCTATTTTGAAATTATTACCGCATTTCAGCTTATGTCGTGTTTTTGGAACATGTCGCGTTTTGAGACAATTATAATTGTATACTCGAATTCAAATCAATGCCAATTTTCAAGCATTTACGCACTTACGTTACAAAACCAGATTCTTTGATAATGTGAAATATAAACAAAATAAAAAATATACATATTATGTTCTTTTATAATTTAAAAATTATTTTAGCATAGAGAAATAAAAATCTTAGTATTATTTTGTCCTTACAGAAAAGATTTAACTAGTAGTAGTAAACCGGGAAATTGTTTATATAAAATGCGGAAAAACAAATCAACATTATTCTCTTTGTTAACAGATAAAATGGGGTTTTAGAATTTTTTACTTTCAGTAGTTTATTTTGTAAGTTATGAAAGTGAGCTTTTGTTCTGAAAAGCAGATTATACTCAAAAACAGGAAAGTGGGGTTTGTCTCAAAAACTCGGCAATTTTCAAATTAAGAAATTATAAAAAGATCTCTTTTGATAACTTTGGTTAAAAAAAATAGTTTTTAATTGTTAATTGTTGTCCTCGTCATGCTTAATAAAAGGTTGGTTATAGTTTTTATTATCGATTTTTACTTTCGATATGGGCCGGGATCCTAAAAACCCAGTTTTTTAATTTTTTCTCATTTCTAACACTCAGTGTTAGAAATTGACTATGTGTTAGTTTTGGAACTTATATCCCCTGAATTTATTTATTTTGATTTTTTCCCGATTTTTTTAAAAACAAATTTATTGATACATCTATTTAATACAGAATGCAGATAATCCGTTTTCCTATCTTCTTATTTTCTGGCTGTCCTGTTTTGATGATCTCTCTCAGAAAAAGATTTATTAAGATTCCAGAGTAACGCAGTTTCTGAGTTACACTATATTTAACCCTGTACTGTGTACATTACAGTTTTATTCGCAGTTTTGTATCAGGCATATTTTTATTTATCTAAATTGTCTTTAACTTTTTAAAGAAATTATCAGAGTTGGTATTTAATGAGGGGATAAGCTGATGCTTGAATTCCAGGCACAGAGCTTTGATATCCCAGCAGTAGCTAGTAGCTGAATATAATGTTTGAAAAGAGTTTATGCCTTTAATACCTCCTTTACAGATATCTATAAGATTATGGATGATTTGAAGACAGCCTCGACTTTGAGTTTTCGCAACGACTTTTGGCTTTTGGTTTTAACTCACCAACTCGACTATACTTTATAGCCTTGGGCATGTTCAATTTAAAACTGCAATTTTCTTGTTTCTTTCTGCAATGCTTATTTTGGTTTGCAAATTGCATTGCCTTTCATTAGCCGCAAAATTAGTTTTTTTTAGCGCGATTTGATATTTTGAAGATTTGCTCGTCAAAACATTTTTTAGATGTGAAAAATATCATTTAAGGCCGAGTTTAGAAGAAAAAATGGGAAAAGAGGATGGTAATGTAATACCTTTCTGCGCGCATCTGTCACGTTTTGATCGTAATTAAAAAGTATTAATATTGATATTTTATAGATATATACATAAATGATTTTGTCCGGGGATTGGAAAAAAGAAAGTACTTACACAATCTTCTATATCTTGTAGCAAAAGTAGTAGTAGTAGTATTTTCTGTAGTTGTAGTTGTAGTTGAAGTTGTAGTTGTAGTTGTAGTTGTAGTTGTAGTTGTAGTTGTAGTTGTAGTTGTAGTTGTAGTTGTAGTTGTAGTTGTAGTTGTTGTTGTAGTTGTAGTTGTAGTTGTAGTTGTAGTTGTAGTTGTAGTTGTAGTTGTAGTTGTAGTTGTAGTTGTAGTTGTAGTTGTAGTTGTAGTTGTTGGACATCCATTAATGAATCCAGAAATTCCCTGCTTGTGAACTGGAAGTTGATCTCCTGTTTCGTTCTGGAGTAAACATTTCATGTTTTTGTCCCAGAAAAAGCTGGTGCATATCCTATACATCCATGAAAAACATTTAGCGCAGAAAATTATAAAGCACTGCGGCTAGAAAGTACTGGGGGCTAGCGAGTTGGCGTGGATAGGCTATGGGTGCTACTGCTAGGCTATATATTTTAACATTAAGCTGGGAAATTTTGTGTTTAATACCAATTGTCGCCAACGCTTGACCTCGATATCCACGTCGGGCACTTTTAAATTCAAGAATCAATGGTTGAAATCAATCATTGATTTCGTTTTCTTAAATACAAGAGTTCCCACATCAGATTACATTAAGTGATATAGATGGCAAATAGCAATAGATCAGATGTCAGACCTGCATCTACAGAGAATCTTTCAAAACATCGAGAACAACTGTTGGTCAATAAAATTATAAACTGTTTGGACTACCCACGAAGATCTAATGTCCAACTGCTGAAATATCAAAAAAAGTTTAATTTTGTTTTTTTCATGGTTTTATGTTTCCTTAAGCGACTGCATTGGCATCCACACAGGTCAAAGGAGTAAATTCCAGCAACTAAAATATAAACGCTTTGAAGGTTCTGGATCCCTCATCATTGTGCAATTTTAAAAATTATTAACATTTTCAAAATCTATGGATTATTTCGGATGACTGTCCATATGACAAGTAAAAAAAGAATTAGCATTACATTCATATTTATTTCAATAGATTGTAATAAGAGTTCACAATTACGCAAAAATTATTATGCATATTGATATAATGATAATTCACTTAAAGGGACTGTAAAGGAAAATTGAAAGGGGGTATAGGATAAAACCTGAGAATTTCAGGTTTTGAACGATACCTATAAGACATCTATCTTATGTTCCTGTTTCGAGAAATTGACATAAAATTGTGTCAAAATTATACCAAAAAGGACATATGTTAAATTGTGTATAAAAGTTGTAACATTAAACAGATCATATTCTACAATTACGCAACCAATCTGAAAACGACTATATCTCTTGCCAGTTATAGATTGCATATATAATAATAATAAAGATTTTAAAGGTTTGTTACAAAGGTTACCTTCTAAGAAGGTATTCCCATTGTATTGTTTATCAGGTTCAGAACAATACTGTCTAGCAGGGCAGTCTGAAAATTAGTCTAGAGTTAGAAAGGAATTGAGTCTTTGCCACAAGCTAAATTTTCTAATCCCAATATATTTGCAATCGGATGGCGTAAACCTTTGATTTTTTGATCTACTAGAATTCATATCTAAGGTCTTCGACAGTGTGTTCAAAAGATATAGGGATTTGAAAATT